TTTTAGAAGATCAGATCACATCATTCTACGCACTGATAATTAATCAGTGATTAACTAATTATTTATTTTAATTTAATAATCATTTTCGTAAAAGTTTTAATAGAAATCATACACAAAGAGTAGCGACACCTCTGATCGATCGAAAATTATGCATGACTATTTTTTGCACATTATGGAGGCGTATTTCATTCTCTCATTGGCTTATTTACTCTCTTAGTGTGTACGGGTCTATTTTTAAAGCGAAATTAAAACTGTTTTATTTTTGTAGTCTGTCTCAGGCCTTATTTTACATTTTTTAATCAGTATTATAGGCGATGAGAGAGGATGAAGCTAAATCATATTATTAATATTTATACATAAATATGACCCTATTTGAGGTCATGTACATTATCTATTGCCTAGACATTATTGCTGACAAAAAAAAAAGAAAACATGCAAGTATGAATAACTCACACAGATGAACGATATTGTTGCTTCTCCTCTTTTCTTGTCTGTTTCTCTTTCTTTCTTTCTTTCTCTCTCTCTCTCTCTCTCTCTCTCACAGCTATTTTCCATATTTAGAATTGTTTAATTTTTCTTCCCACCAAAAAATTGACAGTGAATAAAGCGACGATAGCATATATATATATATATATTAGTGCACGTATAATATACATAGTTATTTTCTAATCGTATATCATTATTTGTTTATCAATATAAATCATAAAATTAATATTATCTTTTTTTATTTTTTAGAAGAACCGATTATGTTTTGAGATTATGCGTCTGGAATTTCGTTTACAACATATGTTAGCTCAAGTTGGTGGTGTTAAGTACAATATGACTCCTGCACAACGACAGACATATGATGTTGTCGAAGCAGAAAAAGACAATATGATGCAAGAGTTGTACACATTAATGAAAAACGACCATGACATTTGATTATATATATGAAAGAATTGTTTTTCATTTATCTATGTTCTCGTTGTTTTGTTTGTCTATCTTAAAGAAATAAAGCTTGTCTAACAGCTATTGTACAAGAAGACAATCAAGAAAGAATGATTTTATCTCTAATCTGTATGCATATCTGACGATATGCTAACGTAAGAATGATATGTATTATAGTATATTGAATTATATCGATTAAGGAGAGAGAAAGAGACAAGTGTCAGCATCAAAGCAAAAATACGTGAACTATTAGTTGAAGGAGAAGAAAACAATTTCGTTTCTTCTGTTATTCTTCAAATATAAAGAATCTCTGTCTGTATTCAATATCATGATAAAGAAAACATTACTTCCGAAAATCTAAAAATATTTTACTTATCACTGATAGAATATTATAGAAATTAATGCAATTGATACATAGAAGCATTCTAACAGTTACTGATTTCTTGAGTAATATTGCTTGTGGAGAACATGTTTTAATTGATTTTTGTTCAATATGATCAGTAATAGTCGTGTCACAAATGATTGAATCATAGCTGAAAATAGAGATATGCCAATAGCACTTGATGATGCTGATAATTATAAGGTATATAAATACTCAACTTCATTAACTATTCCCTTTGCTTTTAATAAAATATCTTTTAAAAACAAGATCAATTAAAAAATACATCTTTATGATCTTAAATATTTTTTATTATTATTTTGTGCTCGATTACGCTCGTGAGCTTTAATTCAAAAGAAAAATTTACATGTTGAACCAACATATAGAAAAAAAACAAAAAACACAAGAAAAGAACAACAATGAAAAAAAATACATTCCCCAAAGTGAGAAATTAAAAAAAACACGAACCAACTGTGCATTTTATTCACACACAGTTACTTCCACCGACGAAATTACACAACTATTAGAATAAAATATAATCTATAAAAAATATAGACTTGTATGTATTTACAGATATACAGATAGATTAACATAGACTTTATCCAAACTGTACAACACACGGGTACAAAACAACAAGATAATATCCATTTTCTTTTCTTACATAGTTTTTTTGTTTTGTTTTCTTTTTACAATAGGTAAAATAATGTATATGTTGTGGCCGAAATTATAATTCAGTCCAATTTAAATTTGCCTAGTCAAAATTGAAATTTTAATTTCGCATGGGGAAATTGAAATTCTAATTTTGACCAGACGAAATTGAAATATTTTTCTGATAAACAAGAAAAAGTAATGAAAGTCAAACAATTAAAGTACCAACAAATTTTTCTTCTTTTACAATGTTTTGTTTAATACACATATTATGAATCTTAAATCATTTTAGTTCATGTTTGAACACCTACCGCTCTTTGATTGAAATTTTGTCGAGCAGAAAACGTGTTCTTTTTTACATGGACATATTTTTATCGCAGACTTGCTTGAACAATTACAAATATACCCAATGGTGAAACTATTAGAATAAAGTTTTGAAGCTTCAACGATGGTGATTGGTTTTAAAGTACTAACATCGATTTGGTTCAATGCATAGGAACAAGTATCTTTTAAATTCAAAAATTGTTCAACTTCAAATGTATTTTCTAAAAATGCCCTACTGACAAATTAATTTATAGAAAAAAATATAAGTTTTTTAATTCTTTCGATAATGATGCATAGCTTCAAACTTTTATTCTCATGGTTCCATAGTCGAATACATTTGTAACTATTGAGACAAATGTATGGTGATCCTAGTTCACTTTCTCTAGACAAATTCCTGGGAGTCCCTGTCGGGAGTTTCCAAGACGTCAAGCAAAACATGAGAAAATCTGTACGGAGTCTCTGAAGAATTCTCGCGATTCTCCAGTAAGTCCCTAGGGATACTTCAGGAACTCCTCACAGATTTTCTCATTTTTTGCTTGACTTCATGGGACTCCCAACTGGAATTCCACCAGAGACTTACTCGTTCTTTGGTTGACTTCTTGCGGACTCCCGACAGGTACTTCCCGGAGATTCATCAATCTGTTAGGACTCTGTGGGAATTTCTCTACGGAAAATGAACTAGGAAAAACATACCCATACAAAAAAAAGAAAACGTTTTCTGTTTTATAATGTCGCTTGAAAAAGGACGGGTGCTCATCCTTACCCTAAATTAATTTAGAACTCGTATGATATTTGTTAAAACTTATTGTAAGGGAAAAAACTGTTGCTACTTTATTTGTTTGCCGTTCCTTATCATTTCCTATTCATCAAAAAAATATTTCAATTTCATCTAGTAAAATTTTAATTTTGACTGAAATTATATTGGGTGAAATTAGAATTTTAATTTTGCCCAGACGAAATTAAAATTTCAATTTTGACTAGGCAAATTTAAAATTCGGCTAAATTTTAATTTCAGCTACAGTATATCTATTCACAATAATGATGTTTGACTCAAATGTTAGCTGTTCGTCTTTGACGATAAGCAAATATGTATTCAGTAAAACTAACAGAATCTTAAGAGTAAAAAAATATTATATTATATAATTTTAAATACTGGCAATTGTCAAGTGTACTTCAGAATTCTATAAAAAAATACTGATTTCAATTATACGACAAATAAATAATTTCTTTTACATTATTTCTCACTGTCATCTTGTGAAATTGACATTTACTCTCATATTGTGTATGCGTAAAATTCTAGATAATTATGAGACAAATCAAATGAAATATTTTTCAGACGCAATAAATATTCAACATGCTTTAATTGACTGCATACTACATTTATCATTAGTTAGAATTTTATCAAGATCTGAATTTTTCACAAAATAGTAAAATTATTTATCAGATCCTGACTGCCTTTCGAGGCTAGATAAATAATTTCTCCTATTCAAATTAGTTTCTCTCAATAAACATTCACATTAAACAAAAAAAATGTCAATTGATCATCTATTCTAATCGATGAATCAAACAAAAAAAGAAGCGTTATTATTTCTTCAGTTAGTTGACGCATATCATTTTCGATAGTATGACGTATAAGCCATATTCATCGTGCTAAAATTCGATGATACATACATTAATTCACATGTATACTTTTTCTTTCTATCCATCATATTTACACTATTAACGTATAAATATACATACAATATATTTTGACTACTCATACAATTCAACTTAATAATGAGAATCGAATGCCTTTTATTGGTCTTGGACTCTATCAAGCAGATGCTAATCCATGGACAGTTCAACTTGTTAAATTAGCAGTCAAGGAAGGTTATCGCCTTTTTGATACAGCTCAAATATATGGAAATGAATATGAAACTGGAAAAGGTTTAAAAGCATCTCGTATTCCACGTCAACAATTATTTATAACAACAAAAGTTTATACAACAGCAGGTGGACGTTCACAAGTATTACGTTCATTTGGAGAAAGTCTTCATCAACTTATGGTTGATTATATTGATCTTTATTTAATTCATGCTCCACAAGGTGGTCATGTTCTTGAAGCATATCATACATTACTTGAACTTCAATCACAAGGTCGAATACATTCAGTTGGTGTTAGTAATTTTGATGTTCAACATTTAGAAGCTATACGACGATCTGGTCGTCCATTACCAGCTGTTAATCGAATTGAATTACATCAATTTACTCAACAACGTCCTATTGTTGATTATTGTCGTCGATATGGCATTGCTTTAATGGCTTATTCACCATTAACACGTGGATCAGCATTAAATGATCCATTTATTATTCAACTTGCAAGTAAATATCGATGTACACCAGCACAAATCTCACTTCGATGATCATTACAAAATAGATATATTTCAATACCAAAAACAAATCATCCAGCTCGTTTAAGAGAAAATTTTCAAATATTTAATTTTCGTTTAAGTGATTACGATATGCGACAACTTACTTAATATGGTTATCAAGAACAAGCTCGTTCTGGATGGGATTCAACAAATAATGATTGAAAACAATTTCGTCCTGTTTATTAGATAGAAATTTTTATTTTTATTTTTTGAAAAAAAAGAAAAAGTTGAATTTATAATATTATATTCATCTTTAGGCATAGCAACTAGATCGAGTACAGATGAAGCATCATATCCTCCATGTTTAGTTATTGCTGCAGTAATTTGTCCACGATGATGCGTATTATGATTAAATATATGATTCAATGCTTCTGCACAATTACGTTCAATTTTCATGCCTTTGGTATCAAAATATGGAAATGTTTCTTCCATCATTAAAGATTCGAGATTTAACTCTTTAATATAATCAATCCATCGATAGGGGTGGTACGTTTACGTTAATTTAAAATTAACGTTAACTAAAATCATTAACCGTTAATATTAACGGTTAACGGTTTCCCTAGAAAAGTTAATTCGTTAATATAACGGTTAACGGTTTTAGTTAACGTTAATATTAACGTTAACTAAAACCGTTAACCGTTAATATTAACGTTAACGTATTAGTTAACCGTTAATATTAACGGTTAACGGTTTTCCTAAAAACGTTAATTCGTTAATATTAACGGTTAACGGTTTTAGTTAACGTTAATATTAACGTTAACGGTTTTTTAGTTAACCGTTAATTCATTGTAAATTAACTCATTAACGTATAGACAACAATCATATATCATTTAATTTGGAATTTTTAATGAAAAAATCGACGTTCATACAATAACTATCTTCACGGCGTAGATGAGGATGTGAGTGTGAACTAGGAATCGAAATTATATGAGTAGCTGCCTAATTCGAGTTCGAATATATATGGAGATTTCAAAGACAAATCTCAGCATAAAATCAATCCTGAACGAAGACATAGTTTTAGTTATTTATACTTATAGCTTATATTAAGACATATACGTCAGTATGTGAATTATAACTAGAGAGGGAAGGTCCACAACTGATCCACGCCGTTTTCAATCATATTTTGTCCCTATGTTGGGATCATTATTTTAAGAAAAATCCTAAGAGGGTTTGGGCTGATGGTGCTTCATTCGAAGGTTATGGCCATTTTACTGATTTTTCGGCCTATGGCAAGGCATTTACAAAAAAATCGGATAACGAAATTTTGACCTGAGATTTTGCCCATATGTAGACCTCATGGCCCTTATTAAGCGCTACAAGTTTGAGTGAAAACAAGTGTTTGTTCCTCGAGATAATGAATTTGTAAGAAATACCCACATTTCATAGAGAGCTCAGAAAAACGGAGTTTTCTTGGACATTCATTATCTCGAGAACGAAACATCCTTTTTCGCTGAAACTTTTAGCATATACTAAGGACCATGAGGTCTACATATGAGCAAAATTTCAGGTCAAAATTTCGTCATCCAATTTTTTTGTAAATACCTTGCCATAGGCCGAAAAATCAGAAAAATGGCCATAGCCTCCGAAGGAAGCACCATCAGCCCAAACCCTCTTAAGATTTTTCTTAGAATAATGATCCCGACATATAGACAAAATGTCATGGAAAACGGCATGGATCAGATAAGGACCTTCTCTCGTAAGAAGAATTTTAAAAAATCTATTCCTAACAATTCCTATTCTTACAGGAAAACATACATATGACCTACTTTCAAAAAAAAGGGAGTTGCCCAGAACCTTTTTGAGGATTCTGACGCTGGATACTACCCGGAAACCTCAAAATGGTTCTGACTGAAAAGAGGTTCCACAAAAAATGAACAAAATCATTTATGATTTTTTAATAAAAATTGTTCAGTCCTACGGATAAGGTGCGGCATTAGTCAAACCTATCCCTTATCTCTATAGAGCACAAATAAAAAAGGTTTTCTCCGAATATTATAAAGGGTTTCCGGTTTGTCACTATATGAAACTCTTTATAGGTTTCCGAGAAAGGTTTTTCGAGCTCTCAGAAACCTTCAAAACAAATCGAAAAAGCTCATGATCTCCGAAACCTATTGAAGGTCTTCAAAGTCTTGAAAACCTTCGATAGGTTTCCGACACCTAGCCACAAAACGATTCACTAATCAATATCTGTCGCCTTCTTCTTATCGCCTATTCTAAGCTCTAATCTAGATCCTTATTCTATCACCATATTCTAACTCCCAATCTAACCTCTTAATTTATATCTATCACCTTATTCTAACCTCTTCATCTATCCCCTTATTCTATCCCTAAATCTAACCTCTTATTCTAACCCCTTACTTTGAATCCTTAATCTATGTGTATCTCCTTATTCTAACCCCCTAAGTCTATCTCTTAATCTAACCCTTATCTAACTCCTTATTCTAACTTCTTAATCTATATCTATCCTCTAACTCTAATCCATTGATCTAACCTCTTAATCTAACCCCTTATCTAACTCCTTATCTAACTCCTTATTCTAAACCCTAATCCAACTTCTTAATATATATCTATCCTCTCACTCTACACTCTAAAAAACTCGGTTTTCCACCAAACCCTCCAAAAAAGGTTCCGGAAATGTCGAAAGGTATCCCAAGACGTCCAAAGGCTTAAAAAACAATTCTTTAGGTGTACGAAGCCTTTAAAGGTTCTTCCCGTGTATCCGCGGGAAGAACCTTCTCTTGCGAAATCTTTTTTTGAGTTCCGTACAACTGAAAAAGGTTTCGTAGGGAAATACGAAACCTTTAGAGTTTCATTTTAAACCCTAATGGTTTCGTATTAAACCCTCAAGAAATCATCAGGGTTTACTACGAAACCTTAGGGTTTAAAATGACTCTAAAGGTTTCGTATTTCCCTAAGAAATCTTTTTTAGCTGTACGGAACTCAAAAAAGGTTTCGTAAGAGAAGGTTCTTCCTCTGGATACACGGGAAGAACCTTTAAAGGTTTCGTAAACCCCTCCCCATAATAGAAGCCCCCGGGGGCTTCTAAACTGTCAATCGTCCAAAATTTTCGGAGGGGGCTTCTATTAAGTCCCAAATTTTTTCAATACAGGGTGGCCCATAACTAACGCAACCGAAGTAAAAAAATCGAATATCTCCACTACGGCTTGAGCAAACGGGCTGATCTTTTTACCACGAATAAAGGTATGTTCACGATCCAAATTCATACAGACAAGGTTAGTGACAACCTTTGTTAAGTATCACTATTGACGTCAACAAAGAAATTTTACTTTTTCACAGATAGGAAAGAAAAACAATATACTTAACAAAGGTTCTCACTAATTTTGTCCGTATGGATTTGAAGTGTGAACATGCCTCTATCCTTGGTAAAAAAATCAGCTCGTTTAGTCGAGCCGTAATGAAGATATTCAATTTTCTTTTCGATAAAGTGACTTTTTCACTATCGTGTATGTTGTTTTTTTCCTATCTGTGAAAAAGTAAAATTTTCTTGTTGACATCAATAGTGATACTTAACAAAGGTTGTCACTAACCTTGTCCGTATGGATTTGGAGTGTGAACATACCTTTATTCGTGGTAAAAAGATCAGCCCGTTTGCTCAAGCCATAGTGGAGATATTCGATTTTTTACTTCGGTTGCGTTACTTATGGGCCACCCTGTAGTTTTAGATGTAAAAAAGATTCCAAAGAATTTCAGGGGTTATTAGGGTTTTTTAGAGTTTTCAAACGACTTTCCAGGAGGTTTTGAAATTTTTACGCGGGCATATAGGAAAATTAAACAAATTTTTATCTTAAGATCTTGAATTTCGGCGGTTTTGCGGAGAAAATACCAATAAAATTTTTTTTAAAAATTTGTAAAAATAAGGGGGCTTCTAATACATCATTTATATCGATCCTTCGGGAGAGGGCTTCTAACAAGGGGAGGGCTTCTAACAAGGGGAGGGCTTCTAATATGGGAGGGGCTTCTATTATGGGAGGGGGTTTACACCTAAAGAATCGTTTTTTAAGCCATTGAACGTATTTGGATACCTTTTGATATCTCCGAAATCTTTATGGAGGGTTCGGTAAAAAACCGACTTTTTTTAGAGTGTAATCCCTTGATCTAACCTTTTAATCTAACACCTTATCTAACTCCTTATTCTAACTTCTTAATCTATATCTATCCTCTCACTCTAATCCCCCGATCTATCCCCTTATTCTAACCCCTAATCTAGCTTCTTAATCTATATTTATTCTCTCACTCTATCCCCTTAATCTAACTGCTTAATATTGATTTGAGTTTCATATTGGTGAATATGTGTTCATTGTATATAACGAGGGAAGAAAATACTAAGTTCGGCACGAGACCTCTTAGCTACGATACCGTTAGAAAGTATATAGCGACCAGCCAATTTCAAATTTAGTTTTATGGGCATTTGTAAATATGTAAGTATTAAAGAATAAATGCAGCTAGTATTTTAGAGATCTTGAATTTTATTTCATATGAGCTTTCGACCTACTATGTGGTCATCTTCAGATATAACAAAAACAGAACACGAACATGAACACGAACGCGAACACGAACAAGAACAAGAACAAGAACAAGAACACGAACACAAACACAAAACATAACACAACCAGAATAAATCATAAACGAAACAAAACAACATAAAAACAACCATTAGAACACAACCAATAACTAGAACCAGGAAATTCTATGTTTATCGCCCTTTGCTGCTTAATTATAAACCAATGACAAATTTAGTTTTATGGGCATGTGTTCGCGTTCTTATTCTTGTTCGTGTTCTGTTTTTGTTATATCTGAAGATGACCACATAGTAGGTCGAAAGCTCATATGAAATAAAATTCAAGATCTCTAAAATACTAGCTGCATTTATTCTTTGACCAGCCAATTTAGCACAGCTCTGCGATTTTCACATTGAAAATTGTCATTAGGCATTCAAATTTCGGGCAATTTTAAATATAAAAGCAAATCAGAATTCTCTCGGGCACAAGGTCTTCTTTTACACTTCTCAGATCTCTTATGTTTTCACAAAGTAATTTCACACAAATTAAGTAAGGTTTATGTCATGCATATCGAGCACCTCGAAACCTGAAAATCTCTCGACGGAACGTGAGAATGAAAAAGATCATATGATGATATTCGAATGCTAATTGGACTTGGCATAATACTTAATGGATTTCGGAGATTTTTTTCAGAAACTCAAGGGTTTTCGGAACATTCGGAAACCTTGCTGAATTTCTAGGGAACGCTTCTACCGTTTCCGATGCTCGAAAACCCAAGAAGGTTTTCATTAAAAAAATATCGAAAATCCAAAGGTATGCAAGGATACATAGTGGATTTGCGAAAAGGTTTTCGAAACAAACGCGGTTTGCGAGGAAACCTTTCCGGTGAGGGGAATACCCAAACGTTTCGGAGAGTACAATTGAGGGTTTTGAATCCAAAATCTAGAAAACCTATTGGTTTTCGGATGCTTGGAAACCCAAAAAGTATTTTCAGAAACTCGACATAAGTCCGGAAACCTTTCCGGAAACGTTGATGGGTTTTCGAAAGGATTTTCGAAGGAGTGTCGGTTTTTGGATAAACGTTTTTTTGTAGAGTGTAACTATCCCTTGCCTCTGTATCTAACCCTTAATCCTATAACTGGCACTTAACCCCATATCTATCCCCTATCTCTATAACTATTCCTTGACCCTATATCTAACCCTTAACTCTAGAACTAACCTTTAATCTTATATCTATCCCTATATCTATGCCATATCCCTATAACTATCCCTTGTCCCTNNNCCCTAGAAAAGTTAATTCGTTAATATAACGGTTAACGGTTTTAGTTAACGTTAATATTAACGTTAACGGTTTTTAGTTAACCGTTAATTCATTGTAAATTAACTCATTAACGTATAGACAACAATCATATATCATTTAATTTCGAATTTTTAATGAAAAAATCGACGTTCATACAATAACTATTTTCATGGTGTAGATGAGGATGTGAGTGTGAACTAGGAATCGAAATTATATGAGTAGCTGGCTAATTCGAGTTCGAATATATATGGAGATTTCAAAGACAAATCTCAGCATAAAATCAATCCTGGACGAAGACATAGTTTTAGTTATTTATAGTGATGGGCCGCCCAGCAATTTTAAAATTTGCGAAAACTCACCTAAATGAAACGATAGTTACGAAACTTATGCGAAAATAGATCTCTACCGCGATCTACTAGATTCTTCTGTTCCTCTTCGGTGACTTCGTATTTTCTTACGTAACATTTCGTTTCTTACGAACTTCTTACGGCCCATCACTAGTTATTTATACTTATAGCTTATATTAAGAGATATATACGTCAGTATATGTGAATTATAACTAGAGAGGGAAGGTTCCCAACTGATCCACGCCGTTTTCAATGATATTTTGTCCCTATGTTGGGATCATTATTCTAAGAAAAATCCTAAGAGGGTTTGGGCTGATAGTACTTCCTTCGAAGGTTATGGCCATTTTACTGATTTTTCGGCCTATGGCAAGGTATTTACAAAAAAATCGGATAACGAAATTTTGACCTGAGATTTTGCCCATATGTAGACCGCATGGCCCTTATTAAGCGCTACAAGTTTGAGTGAAAACAGGTGTTTTTTGCTCGAGATAATGAATTTGTAAGAAATACCCACATTTCATAGAGAGCTCAGAAAAATGGAGTTTTCTTGGACATTCATTATCTCGAGAACGAAACATCCTTTTTCGCTGAAACTTTTAGCAGATACTAAGGACCATGAGGCCTACAGATGGGCAAAATTTCAAGTCAAAATTTTGTCATCCAATTTTTTTGTATATACCTTGCCATAGGCCGAAAAATCAGTAAAATGGCCATAGCCTCCGAAGGAAGCACCAGCAGCCCAAACCCTCTTAAGATTATTCTTAGAATAATGATCCCGACATATAGACAAAATGTCATTGAAAACGGCATGGATCAGATGGGGACCTTCTCTCATAAGAAGAACTTTAAAAAATCTATTCCTAACAATTCCTATTTTTACAGGAAAACATACATATGACCTACTTTCAAAAAAAAGGGAGTTGCCCAGAACCTTTTTGAGGATTCTGACGCTGGATACTACCCGGAAACCTCAAAATGGTTCTGACTGAAAAGAGGTTCCACAAAAAATGAACAAAATCATTTATGATTTTTTAATAAAAATTGTTCAGTCCTACGGATAAGGTGTGGCATTAGTCAAACCTATCCCTTATCTCTGTAGAGCACAAATAAAAAAGGTTTTCTCCGAATCCTATAAAGGGTTTCCGAATTTGTCACTATATGTAACTCTTTATAGGTTTCCGAGAAAGGTTTTTCGAGCTCTCAGAAACCTTCAAAACAAATCGAAAAAGTTCATGATCTCCGAAACCTATTCAAGGTCTTCAAAGTCTTGAAAACGTTCGATAGGTTTCCGACATCTAGCCACAAAACGATTCACTAATCAATATCTGTCGTCTTCTTCTAATCGCCTATTCTAAGCTCTAATCTAGATCCTTATTCTATCCCCATATTCTAACTCCCAATCTAACCTCTTAATTTATATCTATCACCTTATTCTAACCTCTTCATCTATCCCCTAAATCTAACCTCTTATTCTAACCCCTTACTCTGAATCCTTAATCTATGTGTATCTCCTTATTCTAACCCCCTAACTCTATCTCTTAATCTAACCCTTATCTAACTCCTTATTCTAACTTCTTAGTCTATATCTATCCTCTAACTCTAATCCCTTGATCTAACCCCTTAATCTAACCCCTTATCTAACTCCTTATTCTAAACCCAAATCCAACTTCTTAATATATATCTATCCTCTCACTCTACACTGTAAAAAAATCGGTTTTTCACCAAACCCTCCAAAAAAGATTCTGGAAATGTCGAAAGGTATCCCAAGACGTCCAAAGGCTTAAAAAACGATTCTTTAGGTGTACGAAACCTTTAAAGGTTCTTCCCGTGTATCCGCGGGAAGAATCTTCTCTTGCGAAATCTTTTTTTGAGTTCCGTACAGCGGGAAAAGGTTTCATAGGGAAATACGAAACCTTTAGAGTTTCATTTTAAACCCTAATGGTTTCGTATTAAACCCTCAAGAAATCGTCAGGGTTTACTACGAAGCCTTAGGGTTTAAAATGACTCTAAAGGTTTCGTAAGAGAAGGTTCTTCCTGTGGATACACGGGAAGAACCTTTAAAGGTTTCGTACACCTAAAGAATCGTTTTTAAGCCTTTGGACATCTTTGAATACCTTTTGATATCTCCGAAACCTTTATGGAGGGTTCGGTAAAAAACCGACTTTTTTTGGGAAAGCGAAAATTGGTCGAACGAAAAATGGTCGAACGAAAAATGGTCGAACGAAAAATGGTCGAACGAAAAATGGTCGAACGAAAATTAGTCGAAAATTTTGTAATAAAAGAACAAAAGCTTTTTCCTAAAGAGAAGCTCGAACTCCAACCTGTATCTTGAGGGTGAGAGTGAGGGTGAGGGTGAGAGTGAGGGTGAGAGTGAGGGTGAGGGTGAGGGTGAGAGTGAGGGTGAGAGTGAGGGTGAGGGTGAGGGTGAGGGTGAGAGTGAGGGTGAGGGTGAGGGTGAGAGTGAGGGTGAGAGTGAGGGTGAGGGTGAGGGTGAGAGTGAGGGTGAGGGTGAGGGTGAGGGTGAGAGTGAGGGTGAGGGTGAGGGTGAGGGTGACGGTAAGGCTGAGGCTGAGGATGAGGACGAAAAAGTAGGCGTATTCTCAAGATAGGAAACATTACTATAATAATTAGAAGAAGTTGCTCATTATTTCTGAACTACTATTCCTTTTTTTTATTTGTCTAAGTTATTTGATTGAATCACTATTATTCTCTAATACTAGCATATTAATATAATTAGTGTTTACTTCGCATGCACACTTCAAACTTCGAGCTTCTGTTTCAGGAAAAGCTTTTNCATACGCTCTCTACTCTCGTTCATCTTTGACTTAATTACAGATATGTCTGCGTTCAATCGACTTGTCAATCACTCGCTGAATTTCTCGACAAATTTCCATTCTTCCTAGCCATTGTGGCTGGTGATGCGGATGCCCTTGAACGTGTCGCCTACGAATTTGTCGAAGATCAAGCAATACAAGGTGTACTCTATACGGAAGCGCGCTATAGTCCGCATGTTTTAACGGGCGATACTCTCTCACCTGAACAGGCATGTGTGATATTTTTTAATTTTCAAAAGATATCGCAATATTCTTTTGTCTCGTAAGGTAATCGAAGCGATCAATCGTGGATTTGAACGAGGCATAAAGGAGTTTCATGTCGATGTTCGAACACTACTTTGTTGCATTCGTCTGCATTCCGAATGGTACGATAGTAGCGACTCACTCTCACCATCTGTCACCCGTTGTCTTAACAATACGTTTTTATACGAATTGCATTTTTTTTGAAAGGATGAAGTTTTAAAGGATGGATGAGATTTTCAGAAGACTATCTAAAAGATTTTTTCGTCTCAGGTCAATGGAAGTGGTGGATCTGGCAAATAAATATCGATCAGCTGGCGTAGTCGGTATCGATCTTGCTGGCAACGAACATAACTATCCATATGCTCCTCATGTGGCCGCCTTTGAACGGGCTCTTGAACTTGGCGTACATCGCACCGTTCACGCAGGAGAGACAGGCTCGGCCAACTCTGTTCTTCAAGCAATTGAATTGTGTCATGCTGAACGAATTGGTCATGGTTATGCCATTGTCGACGATCCAGTTGTCTATGACATTATTCACAGTCGAGATATCCATCTTGAATGCTGTTTAACATCATCTCTACATACGAATGCCGTCGGCAAGTACATGCCGACGGATAGTGAAAAAGATGAAAAGCATTTCGTGCTGCACGGTCGCGAAACAAAGACAACGCTTCATATGCATGTCAAATCGAAAAAAGAAGTTTGGCATCCCATCCATCATTTTGCTCGTGATCATCTCAATTTTTCCCTATCATGCGATGATCCATCTGTGTCACAGATTACCATCGAACACGAATATGAACATGCACTAACAGATCTCAAACTGTCACCTGCGCAACTGAGTCAATGTGTATTCAATGCAGCACGATCGTCGTTCTTGCCCGAAAACGAAAAGAATCAACTAATAGAGCGTTTAATCGCAAACTATCTACCCAAACAAGTCATGAAACATCATTTAACCGACAAGATAAAGGATGCTCCCTTGCTGGTTCATGTTTGAATTCCGATAACATATGCATAGTGTGGCAACGGGGAAACAACTGATTTTATGACGTTTTTTGACTTTAGTGATTTTAATGATTTCAATGATTTATAATGATTTTCTTGAATCCAATGATTTAAAAATTATCATAGTCATCTATTTTGTATTCCATATCTGTTACTTTTTTCGAAGATCATTTTATACTTTGACATAATAGAAATGTGTTAGAAGTGGAAGCAGTCACAATTTTAATATTTTATGTGAAAAACCATTGAAAGTTATCATAAGAGCGTTCGTGCATGATATTGAATTGAGAAAATACGACTTATTAGAACACACTTTTATTTAAATAAGTAAACAAAGAAGGTAGATAACAAAAAGAAAACACGAAAAGTCAACCATTGCAATATTTACAAACATTTTAAAGTTAACGATGAGTTTTCATTTTTCTAATTGACTCGTCGTAATCGGTTGGCAAATACAGATGTCTTTTCTTCTGTAAAGAATCAACAGGCTGTTTTTTGTGCATTGATTTTTCTTTTTCGCTAATTTGTACTTTAAAATATGTGCAAAAATTTGCGGCTTCCATAAAATCCAAGATTCGAACACCAAGAAAAGAGTCATCAGTAGAGGTGGACCAGTTAATTTAACGCGAGTTAATTAACGACGTTAATTAACTAAAATCGTTAACGGTTAATATTAACGGTTAACGGTTTCCCTAGAAAAGTTAATTCGTTAATATAACGGTTAACGGTTTTAGTTAACGTTAATATTAACGTTAACGGTTTTTAGTTAACCGTTAATTCATTGTAAATTAACTCATTAACGTATAGACAACCACCACATATCATTTAATTTCGAATTTTTAATGAAAACATCGACGTTCATACAATAACTGTTTTCATGGTGTAGATGAGGATGTGAGTGTGAACTAGGAATCGAAATTATGTGAGTAGCTCCCTAATTCGAGTTCGAATATATATGGAAATTTCAAAGACAAATCTCAGCATAAAATCAATCCTGGACGAAGACATAGTTTTAGTTATTTATACTTATAGCTTATGTTAAGACATATATACGTCAGTATATGTGAATTATAACTAGAGAGGGAAGGTCCTCAACTGATCCACGCCGTTTTCAATGATATTTTGTTCCTATGTTGAGATCATTATTCTAAGAAAAATCCTAAGAGAGTTTGGGCTGATGGTGCTTCCTTCGAAGGATATGGTAATTTTACTGATGTTTTGGCCTATGGCAAGGTATTTAGAAAAAAATCGAATAATGAAATTTTGACCTGAGATTTTGCCCATATGTAGACTGCATGACCCTTATTAAGCCCTACAAGTTTGAGTGAAAACAGATGTTTGTTTCTCGAGATAATGAATTTGTAAGAAATACCCGCATTTCACAGAGAGCTCAGAAAAATGGAGTTTTCTTGGACATTCATTATCTCTAGAACAAAACATTCTTTTTCGCTGAAACTTTTAGCATATACTAAGAACCACGAGGCCTACATATGAGCAAAATTTCAGGTCAAATTTCGTCATCCAATTTTTTTGTAAATACCTTGCCATAGATCAAAAAATCAGTAAAATGGCCATAGCCTTCGAAGGGAGCATCATCAGCCCAAACCCACTTAAGATTTTTCTTAGAATAATGATCTTGATATATAGACAAAATTTTATTGAAAACGGCATGGATCAGATGGGGAGCTTCTCTCGTAAGAAGAACTTCAAAAAATATATTCCTAACAATTCTTATTCTTACAGGAAAACATACATATGACCTACTTTCAAAAAGAAGGAGTTGCCCAGAACATTTTTGAGGATTCTGACGCTGAATACTATCCGGAATCCTCAAAATGATTCTGACTGAAAAGAGATTCCACAAAAAATGAACAAAATCATTTATGTTTTTTTAATAAAAATTGTTCAGTCCTACGGATAAGGTGTCGCATTAGTCAAACCTATCCCTTACCTCTATAGAGCATAAATAAAAAAGGTTCTCTCCGAATCCTATAAAGGGTTTCCGGGTTTGCCACAATATGAAACTCTTTATAGGTTTCCGAGAAAGGTTTTTCGAGCTCTCAGAAACCTTCAAAACAAATCGAAAAAGCTTATGATCTCCGAAACCTATTGAAGGTCTTCAAAGTCTTGAAAACCTTCGATAGGTTTCCTACACCTAGCCACAAAACGATTCACTAATCAATACCTGTCGCCTTCTTCTAATCGCCTATTCTAAGCTATAATCTAGATCCTTATTCTATCCCCATATTCTAACTCCCAACCTAACCTCTTAATTTATATCTATTACTTTATTCCAACCTCTTCATCTATACTCTTATTCAATCCCTAAATCTAACCTCTTATTCTAACCCCTTACTCTGAATTCTTAATCTATGTGTATCTCCTTATTCTAATACTCTTATTCTATCCCTTAACCTAACCACTTACTATGAATGCTTAATCTATGTCTATCTCCTTATTCTAACTCCCTAACTCTATCTCTTAATCTAAACCTTATCTACCTCCTTATTCTAACTTCTTAATCTATATTTATCCTCTAACTCTAATTCCTTGATCTAACCCCTTAATCTAACTCCTTATTCTAAACCCTAATCCAACTTCTTAATATAGATATTCTCTCACTATAAACTCTAAAAAAATCTGTTTTTCACCGAACCCTTCAAAAAAAGGTTCCAGAAATGTCGAAAGGTATCCCAAGACGTCCAAAGCTTTAAAAACGATTCTTTAGGTGTACAAAACCTTTAAAGGTTCTTCCCGTGCATCCGCGGGAAAAACCTTATCTTGCGCAACCGTTTTTTTGAGTTCCGTATAGCTGAAAAAGGTTTCGTACGGAAATACGAAACCTTTAGAGTTTCATTTTAAACTCTAATGGTTTCGTATTAAACCCTCAAGAAATCATCAGGGTTTAATAAGAAACCTTAGGGTTTAAAATGACTCTAAAGGTTTCGTACACCTAAAGAATCGTTTTTTAAGTCTTTAGACATCTTTGGATACCTTTTGACATCTCCGAAGACTTTATGAAGGATTCGGTAAAAAACTGACTTTTTTTTCGAGTGCAATTCCTTGATTTAACCTTTTAATCTAACAACTTATCCAACTCCTTATTCTAACTTCTTAATTTATATCTATCCTCTCACTCTAATACCTAGATCTATCCCTTATTCTAACCCCTAATCTAGCTTCTTAATCTATATTTATTCTCTCACTCTATCCCCTTAATCTAACTCCTTAATATTGATTTGAGTTTCATATTGGTGAATGTGTGTCCATTGTATATAGCGAAGGAAGGAAAAACTAAGTTCGGCACGAGATCTCTTAGCTACGATACCGTTAGAAGGTATATAGCGACCAGCCAATGTAGCACAGCTCTGGGATTTTCACATTGAAATTTGTCATTAGGCATCCAAATTTTGGGCAACTTTAAATATAAAATCAGGTTAGAAATCTCTCTGGAACAAGGTCTTCTTTTACACTTCTCAGATCTCTTATGTTATAACAAAGTAATTCCACACAAATTAAGTAATGTCTATGTCATGCATATCGAGCACCTCGAAACCTGAAAATCTCAAGATGGAACGTGAGAATGAAAAAGATCATATGATGATATTCGAATGCTAATTGGAATTTGCATAATACTTAAGCCCCCCCCCCCCCTCAACAATTTATTTCAACCCAGGAACGTCAACACGGGCTGGAATTTGGGAGGTACGTTGATGCCCAGGGAGGGGGGG